ACATGTCCAGAAAACAAAACAAAACAGAGCCGGCTGGCACACAGCTTCTACGCTCTGTGGCTGAGTCAGCCTGCAATCGTAAGGAATATATTTGCTTGTAATGTAAATGGAGAACCATTTTGTATCTGGATTCCAAGAACTTGCTGCAAGAAGTGTAATTGGCTAACAACCTCCAGCTGTCAAACATTAGGGTATGCTGCAGTGTTCATGCCAAAACCATACTCTTTCTTGGCGTCTAGCCAATAACGGATTTGTTTTTTAAATTAGAGTAAAAAACACATAAAGTTTCACATCTTAAACATTTTTAAGTGTGCAGCACGGCAACGTTAACTATATGCACATTGTTGTACAACAGATCTCTAGAACCCTTTCATCTTGCAAAATTGAAACTATTACATGAGACAACTCCCCATTTGCCCTCCCCACTTTCAGCTCTGGTAACTACATTCTACTTTCTGTAACTATGAGTTAGAGTCCTTTAGATTCCTCATACAAGGGGAGCCATGTGGTATTCATCTTTTAGCATAATTAGCATAATTTTCTCAAGGTCCATCCATGTCATATCATTGGGTCATCAGGAAAGTCATGACACATTTTTGCATAGAAAAATACATCATGGCATTCCCAACAACCTAATATATGACAGGACTTTCTTTTTAAAGACTTAAATATATATACATACATATACATATATACATATATATATATATTATTTAGACATTCAATCACTGTATATATCATTACAGCTTGTAAAATGAATTTCTCAGCATGGATACAGTGCATTTTAGTCCATTTAAAGACATTGTCTTTGGGAACCAGCAGTTGGTGTAAAGGCTATGTTGCTAGACTCCTACGTGGTCGACCGGGGTTCGTGTCCCAGACCCGGTGACTTAAAACTCACGCCGGGCGCGTGTGCGTGCGTGTCCAAGATCCCGAGAGGAGAATGGAGGAGAAGGGATTGCGGTGTGACCATCCCCCCCGGGGGGTGATTTCTCGCTTTCTGTCTCTATGTCTCTCTCTGTCTGTCTGGTGAGCGCATGCGCCCTATAGCAAAAACAAACAAACAAACAAACAAACAAACAAAAACCCTCTCCAAAAGACATTATCGTTCACATTGTCATCAACAGATAATTTTCCATTTTTGTGTTTCTTAAATGTTTTGCCTCTTTCATTTTTTCCTTGATTTCTTTCCTTTTAATTCATCTGACGGCTGATTCATTTTGATCTAGCACTCTCCTTCAAATTCCAGCCTGATTCTTCTCTTGGAACAGTTGGTTTTTCCTTTAGATCTATACTCTCAGATTCAGATCATGGTGGAATTTGATGTACAGGTTAGTTTTCTGGGTCACTGGTCTAGAGGGTATACTTCTTGTTGGGTTCAAAGTGGGGACCATCACTATCCTGTATTTGGAGGAAAGGAAGGGTGGAGAGTACTCACAAATTCACTATCTAGAGGATTGAATATAGGGATCTCTTCAGTGATCACTGGTAGTGATCCTGTGCTAGACTTCAGTTCATACATGTCTCATCACTTGGACTCCCAGAACTCTATGTGTTACCTAGTGCTACTCATGGGAAAGACAAGTAGCTACATGCTCATCTTCCTAACAGCTACACTTCTCATAAAATCTGTCATTCACAGGGTAGTCTCAGAGAAGAAACCTATGTCTAGATCCCTTCTATTAAAATATTAGGAGTATTTTTATTTTAATTTTGAAAATCAAGCTCAAACCATCCAAGCCAAACAAAGGAACTCATTAATTTAAATAAGAAGGAAAAGCAGTGGCTAGATCTAACTTTGGATAAAGCAGAATTAGATGATTACACATTATTTCTCATTTATAAAGAATGAAAGTCTCCAAAGCCCTGGCTTGCCACGTCTTCAGAGTAGTTGATCTCAGAAGAAAAAGGAGTTCTTTTTAATTAATTCTAGTAAAAGACCAGGAAGGCTCCAGAGCCATGAATCTCATCTCTATAAACTAATCCTATGGCTGAGTAGTAGGGGTGTTCTACCTAGAAAAGATTGTAAAATACTTAACACATAAATGACAAATGATCTATGTCTAGTGTATTAACAACTCCAACAAACCAATAATAAGAAAAATGACCTAAGAGAAAAATAAACAAAAACCACAAGAGAAGAAGATAAATAATAATAAATACATGAAATACTCTCATTGCAAAGAGGATTCAGTGAAAAGTGTGACTTGCAATGGTGCAATGTCATTCTTAGTCTATTCAATGTAAAAATTCAAAGATAATAAATATTGATGAGAGCTGGGGAGTTTTCTCCCACATTGCTGCTGAGAATGGTGCAATGTAACAATTTAGCTATACATTTTACAACTTAAAATTTGCCAGCCCTTCAATCCATTAGTTCCATTTGTCAGTGTTTCCCTGAGAGAAACTTTTATAGAAGAACCAAAAGAAGCAGTTATAGGAATTTTCATTGCAACAGTCTGTAATAGCAGAAAACTGAAAGCAATTGCTATTTTCCTGAAAGCATGCTAAATGGCCTTCAATAGGTGAATAGTTAACTATATCATTATACATGAATTACTTAGAATGCTCTGTAACCAATAGAAATAATGAGACCATACTGTATGTATATATAATACCAGAGAGTCTCCAAGATAGATTCTTCAGGGGAAAAGGCAATTTGCAGTTTGGATTACCTTTGTGACAGCCATAAAGGTGAGGCTCCATGGTGCGACTCATGAGAACCTGTTGCAAGAAGTGTAATTGATTAAGAGACCCCAGCTGATTAGTATTCATACCAAAGGTCTTCTCTCCCAGGGCTTTTTCGAGCCAGTGACTGAGCCAGCAGAAGCTATGAGAGCCCCACTGTTGCTGCCCATCGCAGGATTCCCCTAACAGGTCATTTTTGCTTGGTGACTCTCCCCAGGCATGGATAAAACTTTCTCAGTGCTAGACTGAAGTCCTAATCTTCCTGCCCAGTTCCAATTCCATCCTTCTTCCTTTCCAAAGAATCGGACCTGTTTTGGAGCCTAACATTCTTACCTCCTACCTATGCCCTCTCTCTCTTTATCCTCTACAGTTCTTTCTCTAAAAATCTCCAGCTTCTCTAGTTCTATTAGGTCATTGGGAAAGTCAAGATGTGCTTTTCTATGCAAACATGTGTCATGGCTTTCCAGATAACCCAATATCTTGGTCTATGCATCTTGAGGATGCAAATGGACACTTCCTGGAAGAAGATATCCATAAATACCTTGAAGCAAAAGGACATTGCATATATATGTATAATATGTGTGCATTTTTAGCATAGTAGACTGTGCTGTCAATAAATATTATAAAATACTGAAAAAAAAGAACACTGCATGTAAGAGGACATCAGCAAGTTCATGGAAAATGGAATTAAAAGACAAGTTTATTTTGGTGCAAAAAAAATTGAAATCTGTGTGCAGGTTTTGCACAATATACATTTTTCATTAGCTTTTTGAAGACATAAAAATTTTAAACCGTGCTACCTCTGGGTAGGAAATTTTATTTGGTAATTGTGTGGTAATTTGAGTATATATGAGTTAATTATTCATCTACTTATTTGTATAAGAATAAATTTCTTGGGACCATGGTTTAAGTCCCAGACCTGGTGGCTTGAAACTCATGCAGGGTGTGTGTGTGTGTGTGTGTGTGTGTGTGTGTGTGTGTGTGTGTAAGCCCAAAATACCGAGAGGAGAATGGAAGAGAAAGGACTGTGGCATAGCCATCCCCCCAGGGGTTGATTTTTTTTCCCCGGGGGTTGATTTTTTTTCCCTGTCTGTCTCTCTGTCTCCCTTTGTCTCTCTGGTGAGTGCACACACCCTATAGCAAAAAAAAAAAAAACTCTTAAAAAAATAAATTTCTTCCAGAAGGTTAAGCAACATTACAACAAAAATGAGCAATTGCTGTCATAGGAGAAGCTGAGTGCATAGGGCCAGCCTTGAGCTCTCCATGGAGAGACTAGAGGGGGCAAGTGAGAAAGCGCTCCTCCCATGGGGAATGGTCACACCACAATATTTTCTCCTCCAAATCTCCCCCTTTTGCGATTTTTGGGCATGCACACACATGTGCCTAGCACATGTTTCTTAAGCCACAGGTTTAAGACTTGAACCACACAGTCAGCCATGTTGGATCCAGCTGCCCCAACCCATTACACCACAGGCTGGCCCAACATTAAATTTTTACTACATACCTTCTTGTGTTCACTTTTTTTTTTAATATCATGTAAAATATCATGTGAATGAATTACCTTTTTTTTTTTAATGACAGGATCTTGCTGTCAGGATCCTCCTACTTTAGCACTCTCAGCTGAGACTACAAGTGCATGTCATCATTTTTATTCGAATGAGGAGCCACCAGAGGCTCTTGAGCAGGAAAGGCTACCTGCAAAAAATTAAAGAATGGTAGGACACAAGGTGAAATACAAGAGGCCATTACTGTTACTCAGAGAACAGGAGGGACTAAGGAGGCTGGAGAACATGACACTCACTTGAATAAAAGGAGGGGAAGAATTCAGGGTTAGTTGGCAAAATGTGTGGGAATTGAAATGGGTTGGTTGGTGACAGGTTAGGGTGAGAGCCAAGGGAGGGGTGAAAATTAGCTAGACCCTGGTTTCTGGTGTGAATGCAGAAGATGTGGTGGGCTGAATCAGAATCCACACCTCAGGGAATATAGTGATGGTTGCAAAAGGCATGTGGTATTGTCCTTCTGCCACTGTCTTAAAAGGGATTCTAAAAGGATTTTCTTTCCCTTGTTCCTCCAGCCCTACGCTTGCATTACTGGCCTAAGTGGATACTCACCAGCTGGCCGTGTCCATCATTACAGCCAAGTCTGAGAATTCCTGATTATACTTAGAGCCTGTGGAGCTGCTGACACAAACAGTCATTAGCACACGGACCCTATTGTAACAAACTATGCTTTAAAATGTAAACTGTGGGGGGGGCGGCATTTTCCTTGTGTTGTCCAGAAAGAACCTTCTCCTGCCTGAGCCTGGATTAATCATGAGAGAGCTGGTCAACATTCCACTGGTACATATTCTTACTCTGGTTACCTTCAGCGGGACTGAGAAACTTCCAAAAGGTTTGTCTTCTTGTTGTCTTGTCATAGTTTTAAAGTGTGTGTGTGTGTGTGTGTGTTGTGTGTGTGTGTGTGCATGTGGGTGCACATGTGTGGGTGTGAGTGTTTGCTCTCAGGATGACGGATTCATAGAATGGTAGGCATGGGATTTACTTGGTGAAGCAGGGGGAGAATGTATGAAGAGGAAGGAAACTAAATAGATAAGCAATTAATTGATGGACTCCTTCTAACTAATGATTCTAAGTCTGCAGTAAAAAGATTTAGCCATACAGTAGGTGCAGAGCCTCACTTCAGAAAGAAACATTAGCAGGTAGCCTGCAAGTTATCAAGGTCTGTTTTATTTATGTCTATGTCAAACTTCAGGGTGGTCTAAATGGATGGTGAAGACCTTTTCACTTCAGGTTCATCAGGAATATAATCAGCTTCACTCCCAGACATCTAGAGTGTTTGCTTAGAAATAAAAGTAATTTTCAGTTTTCAACTGTAGTTTTACCAAACTCCTAATGAGTATTTTAGTTGTTAAAGTCAGATGTAGAAAGATGTATACAATTTACCTCATTATAAAAGCCTAAAGACAATGAGTTCTCAATAAGTTTGTAGTTGGAGTCATGATTTGGTTTGGCAAGAGACTGCAAAAGTTTTTTTCAGAGCCTTTGGAATGTACCGGAAATAACACCACCTCAGGGGAGAGGGAAGCAACTTAAGAAACTGACAAACACCTGTTGTAGTAGCAAGAATGTCCACAGTGTATTACGAAACTGAGGCTAGTGTATTTCAAATCAGGAAGACTAGAAAATACGTGATTTGCAAAATGACTGAGGGCTTCATTGAAATATTAAAAAAAAAAAAGGCGTGAGAAAGCAGATTGAATGGTATCATTTAGAAGTAAAGAGTTTTTTCAATGAAATGTATTACAATAGAATAAAATAAAAAGCTCTGCCTTCTAGGACACATTTTAATGAATTATTGTCCCTTTGTATTCCTTTATCAAAGCGCTAAAAAAGTTTGTGTAGTATGGATAACTGAAGTTAATACCTGTATGTAGATGGGAAATAAATGTTTAGATTTTTGAGGCTCACTAAAAGTTCTAGAGCCATGGGTCAAGGCTCATACACAAAAAAGATACAGCTTTTATCCCATATATTCTAATTTCATAGATCGACTTTGTTTTGTCACTTTCCTTTTCCATTTAACTTGAGCAGAAAGGTGTCTGCAGATGTATTTAAATGTTTAATTGCCAATTAATACTTCAAGGTATCTTCAGATAAAAGAGAATCTAGATCTTTTTGAAGAGCTAATAATAGCCAGAGAGACTTAACATTGGCTTCAGATTATTTTAATACTTCCTGATCATACAACGGATGTCCGGTAAGGCAGCACCTAGATGTCTGGACTTATGGATTGTCATAAGTCTTATTTTTGTTATTCTAAATCATGCACTTACATAAAAGTGATGTGATTAAATAGTAACATTTACTAAAATCTCATTTTATAAGCAGCAGAATGGATTTTGATGGTCCAAATTGGAACTCAGAGCACAAAATATAAAACAAAACTTCCCTGTATGAGTAACTCCTAACTTATACTCTAGAAATAAGTGGTTTTCAGTTTTCAAACTTTACATGATTCGAATGTGCACTATATCTGTTCTGGAAACTTCAAAATATAGTGGCATAAAGATAATAAAGCCAAACTCCCTCAATTTTAAAATAATCAGATTGGTAATCTAACTTTTTATAAAGTAATTTATTTACTACTATAACTAGATGTTAAAGTTTAAAAAACCATTTTCTTAGTCTATTGTGTTTATTATAAAATCTAAATTACTGTGGGTTTAGCATCAACCTTGGTCAAAAACCACTACTCCCAAGAAAGTAAACATTCATTTATAATACATATTAGTTCTGAAAATAAACAATATCATGAAAACATAGCCCTTAAAATTTCTAATGTGGAAATATGAGGAATACATTGGTAGAAAGAACCACAATAATATGGAATTAAAAAAATATTATTGAAAGTAATAAAATGTTTCACCCAAACTATCTCAGAGTTGTTTTCTCCATTCTTGGCAGCAGGTAGTAACAAAAGTTTTTAGGTGGCATACTTTTTCCTAAGCCCTTTATTTTAAATAAATGAAGGAAACTGCACAATACCATATTACAGTATAAACTGACATATTTAAAATAGTGCAGGAGTATTCAGGAGAGTCTTTTAAAATTCTCTACACCATTTCCTCAATAAAACTAATATCCAGCATGATAGAAGTAAGAGTTTTCATTTCAGTTTAATGGAGACTCCTAATGAGCAAAGATAAAAGGGAAAGTCATTGTGTTCCTGAATCATTTCAACTACTGATACTTTCAATGAGTTCAATTCATAACCCCAAGTAGGAGAATCTTACAAGCAGTCATTAAAATAGCCAACATTTCATTGAATACTTGCCTTAATCACATACTTCAATAACAATTAATACTTTATTGGGGAGAATTAAGTATGTGGTGGGACGTTAAGTTCTGCAAGAGTATAGGAGTTCATGCCAGGAGTACTGGAATTGTTCAATATGCACAAAGAACTCCTGCCAAAACCCCACTTTTTCAAAGTTACCCCATTACTACCATATCTGGAAGTGTTTGAGTCTAAGTGATTTATCTATATTTGACTAACCTGTTCATTTAACTTGCATGTATACAGGGGCAGAAGTCACAGATTCCACATATGACTAAGTCAGTACCAGGCACAGCTGTCATTGAAATCCAGGACACTGAGTCCCAGATAAATGTCTTACGCTGACGTGCATTGAAAGAGTCACTCACTGCATGTTTGGGACACAGCTGTTTTAAACTTTATGGGCTATAATGAACACAAAATTTTTTTCGCCACTACATTATTTGTACAACGTGAAGTAGGCAGCTTTTCAATGACATGGGTCATCGGAGGAGAGTGACAAGTGCAGAGTGGGAGCTGACCTAAGAGGGGACTGGCCCCATCAAGGAAGATGAGAGAAGGATTGGGGAGAGAGTGACAAGTGAGGAGTGGGAGATGACCTAAGAGAGGACTCACACCATCAAGGAAGATGAGAGAAGGATTACATGGGTCATACAGAAGACCCAGCTGTGGCTGGGAACTGCTGCTTTTTGGTGGCCCTGGCCTAAGCAGTTGTTTCACTTTGCCCTGCAGTGCTACTTAACATAAGGGTTGCAAGGGCAGATGGCTGGATTAAGTCAGCATTGGTGCATTCCAGGGTCAGTGCAGCTAATGAAATAGAGCAGAAGAGGAGCTGCGGGTACATGGCAACACACCAGGGGGAACAGGTCAGATGATGAAACAATGATGCTCAAGGATTGAAAGAGAAGGTTGAGATCAAGTTTCCTTTTCTTAATCCCCAGTGTCTCTCTTTATGTCTTTAGGGAAAGCATGTAGACTCTGAGCCTCAGTTACTTCATTAAGATGACATGTCTAGGGGGACCAGCAGTTAGCGTAATGGCTATGTCGCTAGACCCCCCATGTAGTTGACTGTGGTTCGAGTCCCGGACCCTGTGGCTTAAACTCACGCTGGGTGCGTGTGCATGCGTGCCCAAGATCCCGAGAGGAGAATGGAGGAGAAGGGACTGTGGCATGGCCATCTGTCTTTCTGGTGAGTGCATGCGCCCTATAGCAAAAACCTCTCCAAAAAAAAAAAAGACATGTCTACCAGTGCCAAACACAGAAGTTTACATACTTTGCTAAGGATGCCAATGACTGGTATAATAATTGTTCTCAAATGTTTTAAATGGGTCCCTATGAAATCATGTCTTAACCCAAGGACACAATGATTAAAAAAAGTTTACTTTATTATATCTCCAGTTAAATACATGTGCTAGTTCCTAAGCTATGTCTTCTGGTGAGCAATACTGACTATTCTTTTTAGGGATCTGAAAATTTTCCAATACCAAAGTGTTTTCTCAGACTGAAAAAATCAAACAATATTGCACTCACGATATTAAGATAACATGAGTATTTTCCAGCTCAGAGTCCCAACTTTACTAAAACAGAAGGAAGCAAATACACTTGGCTTCTTTGTGTATGAATCATTTGGTCATGTCAATCAGCAACTATTCAATCAGAAGTTAATATATCAACAGCCATGTGCTAGAGGGCATAAAATACAAAGGGAAGGTATTATCAGATCCTTCTCATCAAACAGTTAGTATCCAAGGTACAAATCTTTGGGTCTAGAAAAGTGTTTGTTTTCATGTATTTGTAATTCATGTAGTCTTTGGATTGAAAGAAGAAACAGTGCCCTAGTTTACATGGGCCCTGGCTGAGTTGAAAGCTGGGTAGTAGGAAGAAAGCAAATAAGAGCCAGTCTGCTGGGTCAACAAATATCGTTAAATACCACTCTGTGATTGTGTCATTAAACATTTAAAAACAGATTGGTATAACTTTGGAATATGAGCTAAGTGGACTTAGCTTACCATATTCTGCATATAGAAATTGGTAATGATGTACATCTTGTTTTTTTTTTCTCCCAGGCTGTGCATAAACTAGCACTATCCTGAAGATGCATTGTATCTTAGAGCTAAAAGTTAGGAACATTAGACTAACCTAAACTCTAAAACTCAGCTCTATCACTTCCTAATCTTGTGATGTTTAGAAAAGTTATCTAACTCCTCTTAGCATCCATTCTTCATGGGCAAATGGAAATATTAATATCCACCTTCATGTTTACTGCGATACTTAAATGAAATAGTGAATGACAATTTTAACACATGGCATACAGTGGGTTCTTCGTCAATTTTAGATGCTAACATGATTTAAAACAGAATCAGATTTCACATAAGACAATGTCATCAAGTGATAAAGGAAGGTGTTTTCTTATTAAAGTTCTTAGATAGACCTCACGTACTTCTCCATGTCTAAGTTTTTTACAAGCAATTCAGTGACTAAACCTTAATAGATTTCAACAGGGCTTAGGCCACCTCATTGGAAAGATAAGAAAATAGTTTTTCCTACACTAATTATAGACTAAAATTTTTATCTAGATTCAATGACATTTATACCTAGCTCATTTTTGTTAGAATGTCCCTTGTCTGTACTCAGGCACATAATGATTTGGAACCCACTTGCCTCATATGCTGCTGTTTCTTGTAACTCACCCTTTTTCAGGGGAAACAAGTTATTTCTCACTGAGTTATACTTTAGGAACTATGAGTGGTAAACACTTTTCAATATCTGCTTGCTAATTTCTTAGTTTTCTTAGTCTTCTTTAAAACTATTATCTAAGTCAACCAGCAGATGGCATAATGGTTACATCACTGCACACCCACATAGTTGACCACAGTTCAAGTCCCAGACCCAAAGGCTTAAAACTCACACAGCACACGTGTGTATGCATGTCCAAAATCCTGAGAGAAGAATGAAGGAAGAGGGATTGTGGTATGGCTATCTTCTCTGGGGTGTGATTTCTTGCTATCTATCTGACTCTTTTGCAAGTGCATGTGCCCTATAGCAAAAATTTCTTTCTAGAAAAAAAAAATATTATCTAAGCTTGCTATACAATTCCAGCTAATAGTAACATTTTTACTCAGCCCTGTAAAGATCTTAGTTAATTACCTTCTTGCAATTGTTGTTGAATAATTTCCTGTCAGTCTGAAGGGCCTTCCTATTAAAATAACTGGATTCTTTCCTTCTAGTGAGGTTTAAAATTTTAAGTTTAATTTTTCTATAATTTTAATTCAACATATCAAGGGATGAATTTCTTTTTTCTATCTGTCTTGGCACTTGGTGGGTACTTTCAACCTGAATATTCTTTTTTTTTTTCAATTTGAAAGTGATCTGCTATTTATATATGGCTTTTTCTATATTTATGGAATTTGTATGACAAATATATTGGTGCCTGTTACTCTATACTTTGTTTCCTAACTATTCTTCAACGATGTTTAGTATTTTTAAAAATTTCTGTGTAGTACATTCTGAATAATTTAATGATTAACTCATCAGAAAGTTAGGAAAAGGGGGGCCCTGGTGCCCGTGCCTAAGGTGTCACTTTATTTAAAAATTCTTCTTCTATTTGGACTACTCATTTTCAACCTTTATACTTATTCCTATTGTAAAGGCCGGAGAAATATAGTTTAGTTCACTGAAACGTTACATGACTCACTGCTCTAACTCAGGTCAACGCCATTATCCTCAACCCCAAACTCAAAGTTTTCATAATTAAGTGTGGAACAAATTATAAATAGGTCATTTTAATACTGTCTATAGGACAAGTGCTACCTGGGGTAATCTAAGATAGAGGAAAGGGCTTTCAGCTCTGACTACTAAGTCAGGGACACTAAGGAAAACAATGATACTTAAACTAGATCTTGAAAGGAGAATAACATTAGTGAGGAAGAAATGGACTAAAATAGTCCCACCCCTTTTCTCTCACTCTTAGCAGCTGAGGTGACTTTTGGCTTTACTGAAAAAATAAATTTTGTTCTGATAGTCGACGTGTCTTTCATGGCCAAACAATGAGCCACTCTGTTCCAGGTGTTTCATGAGTCTGTCACCAACTATGTCAAAATATTGGTCAGACTATTTACTCAGCCTTGCATTTTAACTGAAACGACCATGTACTCTGTTGTCCTAACACAGGTATTTTGGGAGCCTATGGGACACTGTGGATAATTAGGCCACACTTGCAGGCATAACCGATTATTACAGCTGATCATTTTATGTATCTCTCCTACATCATCATCATCTTGTGGGGGCCTCAGAAGGCAGAAATGCACTTTATACATCTTTTCTTCTAATCCAAACTGCACCTGCTGCATGAGAAACTGCAAACAAATTTTTGCTGAATAATGATGATAACACAGCAGTGATTACGGAGTTATTTTAGAACAGGTTATGTAATAGGGTGGACTTCCAGGCTTCCCTTGGTGCTTTTGTTTTTCACAGTCCTTGAGATGAACAGGTTGCCAGTACTTTATTTTGGTAGAATATATAGGTTTCCAGAAGCACTGAAGAGGAGTATCCTTTTACAAACCCATTTTCATTCATCTTAACCTCTTTTACCTCCCCTAATTTTTTGAACTACACATTTCACATGGTGGTATGAGTAGAGATGAGACCATGTTTACAGTTTTTCCTCCTGTTGGCTTTTTTGGGGGCTTGGGGAGAGCTTTTGTCAAAGGAGCGCGTACTTGCTGGAAAGGAGAGAGAGAGAGAGAGAAGGAAAGTGAGAAATCACCCCTCTCCCCCTTATGGCCACACCATAGTCTCTTCTCTTCCCTTATCCTCTCGGGATTTGGGGCACACACGCACAAGTACCCAGCATGGTTTCCGAGCTGCTGGGTCTGGGACTCGAACTACAGTCAGTCATGTAGGAGTCTAGAGCCTTAACCACCATGCCACCTGCTGACCCTGGCTTGCTTTTTATAAAAATAAAATGAGAAAGCTTTATGGAGAAGGAATTTACATACCACACACTTTATTTATTAAAATTTATACCTCATGGAGGTAAGCATTCATAACCACAATCAATTTTAGAACATTTCTATTACACTTAGAAGGAACACAGCGTTTCTTAGCCATTGCTCCCTAATCCCTCCATCTCTTCCCTTCCTCCCCCAGTCCTAAGCCACCACTAATGTATTTTGTGTCTCTATAGACTTGTCTAGACATTTAAATGATACAAATATGGCCCACTGTGACTGGCTTCTCTCACTTCAGCTTATTGTTTTTAAGGTTCATCCATGTGAGAGCACATGATAGTATTTCACTTACTATTAGTGTCAAATAATATTTCACTGTATGGATATACCACGTTTTGTTCAGCCATTCATCTGTTGGACACTAGGGTTGCTTCCATCTTTTGATTATTATAATACCGCTGTGAATATGGGTGTACAAATAGCTTTCTGAGCCCCTACTTTCAATTCTTTTGAATACATACCCAAAAGTGGTACTGTTGGATCAAGTCATTCAATTTAATTTTTTAAGAAACTGCCTAACTCTTTTCCACTTTACCTTCCCACCAGCAATGCACAAGTGTCCCAATCTCTCCACGTCCTCACCAACACTTATCATTATTTTTTTTTTATTATATCCATCCTAGGGTGTATAAAGTGGTATTGTATAGTTTTGTTTGCATTTTCTTAATGACTAATGATTTTGAAAATCTTTTCATGTGCTTTTAACCATTCATGTACATACCTTCTATGGAGAAATGCCTATTCAGATCCTTTGCTCAATTTTTATTTGCGTAACTGTCAGTTTATTATAGTCTCTTTCTATTCTACTCACATGCAGAAGTGAATCCTCCATTGATCTGATGAAGCCCAAGCTTCACAGTCTCTCATTTGCAGGAGCCTCTTCTAAGAACTCAGTGTATTCTAGCTGTGTATTGGTATGAATATGAATTGTTATAGAATTTGGGATAAAATAGTTGTAAACAACAGTGGTTAAGACTGCCTCATTTACCTTTCCACCCTGACATTCTTTCAGACTCATTTCCCTTCATATTGATTGGCCATAGAAATTTGGTATTTACAACTTTACATCTTTTTCTTTACAAAGGGTGCCTAGAAGCCAGCAGACAGTGTAGTTGTTACGTTGGTGGATTTCCACATGGCCAACTGGGTTTGAGTCCTGGACCCAGTAGCTTGAAAAAAAAACAACAAATAAATAGGTAAATAAATAAATGTCTAAAAAGATAAATAAAATTAAAATGGCATCTAAATTATATTATATATTATATTTGGGCCCTACAAAACTGGATCTGCCTCTACTCCTATGTAATAAATTATGAAGCCTAACTCTCTTGAAAGCCTTCTCTTTGATTCTCAAATGCCCAGTTTGGAAGTAGAAACAACGCTTTCTACATCAACTGTCTTTCTTTTGGAAAATTTATGCTCTGGGGAAATACAATTCTTCTTCAGTATACAATGGCATCTTATTGCTTAAGGAAGCATTAGTAGACAACATTTGAGAATGTGCTCATTTGATGTCTTCTGTTCTCTCAGCACCTGTTATCACCACTCCTCTTGAGACAGTGGATGCCTTAGTTGAAGAAGTAGCTACTTTTATGTGTGCGGTGGAATCTTATCCCCAGCCTGAGATCTCCTGGACTAGAAATAAAATTCTTATTAAGTAAGTATTCTGCCTTTTTGTTGTTGTTGTTGTCATTGTTGTTGTTGAGTATGGCCTCTGCTACCTTGCAGTTTATCTCTGACATAAATGCAACCACAGATCTTAACAGTACTAAAGTTTACCTTCTAGAAAATATAAAAAGCAGATTTCCTTATTTTGTAAATGTAGAATCTGAAGTTCTGTAAACTTAAGAAAATTTCCCAAACCAAAACAGTGATTTCACATACTTATATTGATATGAGAAAGTTAGGGAAGCCCCCAGATCAGAACCTAGAAGAATCTTTTTTTTTTTGGAGAAGTTTTCGCTATAGGGTGCGTGCGCTCGCCAGACAGACAGAGAGACAGAAAGCGAGAAATCACCCCCGAGGGGGGATGGTCACATTGCAATCCCTTCTCCTCCATTCTCCTCTCGGGATCTTGGGCATGCACGCACATGCGCCCGGCGTGAGTTTTAAGCCACCGGGTCCAGGACGCGAACCGCGGTCGACTACATGGGAGTCCAGCAACATAGCCATTACACTAACTGCTGGCTCCCGAACCTAGAAGAATCTTTACAGGAATTAGGAGACACTGTGCCTCCTAAGTCTAGGGTGCATGTCCCAGGATATGATGGGGAGGTAACAGGGTCCAGCAGCATCTCCTGTAGGCTGTCTAGGAATCTGACCTTTAAGTGACCATGACCTTTTCTTTTGAAAGTTAGAGGGGACTCCTGATACATAGTGAAGCAACCTCTCCAACAGTAAAATAATCCATTTGGCATATAAAGGTTATACAGTTCTTTCCTCATTATGCTAGTTATCTAATCAAAAATACTCTAAAAAATCATCTGTGACAAAGTGAACCTGGAGCTTCCTAGTAGGCAATATAGCTGGCATTAGGACTAAGTGCTGTCTCATGAAGACTTTACCTTTATGACCTAATCACTTCTCAAAAATCTTGCTTTTAAATACCATCACACTGGGAATTAGATTTCAACCTAAAAATTTGACAGAGACATAGCCATTCATTCTATAGCAAGTGTTTAAACTGGTATTCACAGACTAGGATTTGGGACTCAATCCGCACTGTTGGCCATGTTGGATCTAGTTGCCTTAGTCACCGTGGTACCCACTGGGCCCAAGTCACTCCTTCAAATCTTTTTCTGTTGCTTTAAGTTGTTTCTCAATGAACAGAAATGCATGTCAGTATATGTAAAGCATATATTTTTAACGTATGAAGCTGTTTTGCTTTCTTATGTATCCTGAGTAACTAGAACAATGCCTGGCATTTGTTAGGCACTCAATAAATACTTGCTTAATGAAAAAAGTGAATATTCGATTACTTTTTAATTCCATGTATAAATACTTAGACCTCCTTCTTATCATATTTACATGTGTGCATGTTCATGATCCAGCAGCTACTTCCTAGTAACTACAGAGAAAACACTAACGTGCATATCTTGGTCATGATATACATTCCCCAAAAAAGTAAACTTCACCTTTAGTCTTATCAGTACACATTATACTTTGAAAGCATTTTAAAGGACTCAATGTGCTTTGATTATTGGGATTATGAAAGATTAGCATATCATTTTAGCTTTATTTTACCAACTAAGGTTTTTTTTTAATTTTATTTTATGATTTCTTATTTTCATTCAATTTTGTATATCTCTATAGCACACCATCTGGGTTTTCAAAGTATGCTTGCAGTACACCACAATCTAACTGGAATATTACCATATGTATCATTTTCAACAAAGAATTAATAAGGTTTTTTTTTTAATCCAGAAATCACTCGTTTCCTTTCACTTTGATTCTACTTTCTTATGATATATGTATGTGCCCACTCTGATCAATTAATCATAGCTGAAAAACCACAGATGATGCACTAACCTGCTGTTTTCCTCTGTGACCCATAGGCTCTTTGACACCCGCTATAGCATTCGGGAGAATGGACAGCTCCTCACCATCCTGAGTGTGGAAGACAGTGATGACGGCATTTACTGCTGCGTAGCCAACAATGGTGTCGGGGGAGCTGCTGAGAGCTGTGGAGCCCTGCAAGTGAAGATGAGTGAGTGGGAAGAGAATAATCCATTGATTTTAAAGTTGGCTTAGTACATGTGGGAATAGCCAGTAAATAGAGACTGCTTCCTACTTGAGGTTCAGC